TGTGTGTGTGTGTGTGTGTGTGTGTGTGTGTGTGTGTGTGTGTACATGAACATAGAAAATAGATACAATGTAAGGGGGTCTAAGGGAGAGAGCATAAATTAAACACACTTAGGAAAATGTAGCTAAGGAAGGCTTTTAAGCCAGGTTGGGCCAGCTACTCTTCAAAAGGGCAGAACCTCTTCACTGCTTTCACCCACTGTCAGAAAACTTGGCTGCCAAGAAGATGCAGGGGGAAGGAGAAAACAGGTAATGACATAAACTTACTTAATTCCTAGTCCATCGGGATTTGGGAAGACCAGAGGCACTCTGAGGGCTTCTCTCTGTACGTACTCAAAGTTGAAATCTGAACATTTGGATTAAAGCAAATCGATCAATATCACAGGAATGAAGGAAATTCCCATTCTGCCATTTATCCCCAGTAAGATTCCGGATGCTCCGCCTCCCTGAACCTCAGCTTCCTCTCAGGTTAAAAGAGGCAGTTACACTAGATGGCTGTCTCTAGCCATCCCTGCACAGGCTGGTCCCCACGATTTAAACGCACCCCCTGTTCACATCTGCCTCTTATAATCCCTAGATTCCTTCATGGCAGAATTCATGTGCCACTTCCTACTGCAAGCCCTTCCCAATCCCCATAATCCTTAGGGCTCTCTCCTTCCTCCTCATAATTCTCGGTTGACAGGTTACATTCCCCCTGGAGGATGCAAGTTTCTTGAGAATAAGGATTCTTTTTCATTTTGTATTAGCAGCCCGAGGACCTGCCACAGCACTCAGTAAACGATAAGCCTTTAAGAAATGCAGCAAGCTGTCACAGTGGCTAGATCAATGGGCCTGGAGTCCGGTAGAAAGACCCAAGTTCAAATCCCGCCATGACCCTGGGCAAAATCACTTAATCGCTGTCTGCCTCAGTTTCCTCAACTGTAAAATGGGGATAATAATCGCCCTCTACCTTCCAGGGCTGTTGTGAGATCCCTTCTGAATCTAAAATCTACACTCCTAATAACCTTTAAGGTCCCTTCCAGCTCCAAGTCTATTTCCCAGCTGGATAATAAGCCAAGGCATGCCTGGCATCAGGGAGGGGAGATGGCTGTTGCCTGAAGAAACAACCCCAGATAGGCAGAGCCCAGCCTGCCCCTCTTCCTACTCAATCATTCCTAAACCCACTGGTCAGAACTTGTCAAGAAACACCCTGAGGTTTGGTTGGGGTTTTTTTTGGGGGGGGGGGGGTAGATGGAATAGGGGTGTGGAAGGGAGTCTGGATTAGGCACAATCTGAAACCTGGAGCTACGGCCAGTATCCAGGGTGGAGCCCCAGACCCAGGCAGGGCTCAAGAGAGGCACCCTCCCCATCCCTGCCTGACACCTGGAGGGATGTGCAGAATAGGAGCGAAAGCTTGGAGGGCTCCCATTGTAGCCACAGATCTGTGAAGGCCTCATTGTAATTGCCTGCATAGTGAAGGGAAGGGGAAGAGAGCCGTTTCCCTGGAAACTACGTATTTGGTGCCAAAATAACCAGGGAGTTTCGGTACAATACTGTTGTCTTGACAGTGACGATTCTACTACAACCATCACATATTTCCTTCACCTAGAGTATGAGCTAAGCTTTTTTTTTTTTTTTTTTACCTTGGGTGAGGGGTAGCTGAGACAGTTGGGGAGAGGGACAGAGAAGTCTCAATTAAGAGTTTAAAAACCCACAGGTAGCAGCCCTCTCCCTTCATCCCGAGGCTGATCTGGGGTTTATCTATTCTAGAACCACAGACATTTGCTTTCTCCCCCATCCCCAAATTTCAGGGAACAGGGCTTTGCATTCATTTTCCCTAATGAATTGTCCCTAAAAAGGTTGAAGAGTATTAGGACAAAAAAATTACCCCCTACTTCTGCCTTCCTGCAAGCCCCACAGCGGACCTGATCAGATACAATTCTGGGAGAAGTCAAGTCAGGAAGATGGAGATAAGAGATATTATTACCAGAGAACCAAGACATAGGGTCCCAATTCCACCCCCACCCTCTGACACACTCGCCCATCCCCACAAGGCAAATGTCACTCCGGTCATCCCAGCTCTAGGGACGGATGAATAAGCCCTTTTCTCTGGTTCAGGGGCCCAGAGTGCAGTGAGATGGAAGAGGTCTTAGCTAAGACTCAGGCCTAGGACAGGGACACTCACCCTCTCCCCTCCCCCCAACTCTCCCAACCATACCAGGGGCAGTTTCCCTAAGGGCAGGTCACCCGGAACTCCACACAAACCCACCTTTTGGGAGAGAAAACGGAGAACTAGCAAAGAGTTAGGAGTGGCCATTTTCAGAGCCCCAAGGGCTCAAATATTCAGGATGAAAGCCACGGGTAGCGAGATCCAGCCGAGAGAGGCCAGGATTTGAAGTCAGAAGATTAAATACCCAACGACCCGGGGCAATTCCTTGCCTCCACCAGGAGTTTCTTTTTCCAATTCCGCACCCCACCTAAAATGATACAGCCTCTCCCACTCCTCAAGGTCAAAACTTCCCAAGGTCCAAAAAGAAATCTCCATAGATTTAAGGAAGACCTCACAGTGGCGCCAGCTAAAGAATCCTCCCCCACCACCAACACCTCCCCAGGTCAGCAATTCACAGACGCCAGCCCAGGCCTTCTCAGTCTTCCTCAAAAAAGCTCCAAAGGTGCTGGGACTTCCTTACGTGACCCAAGGAGGAAGGGGCGCTCTCTTGTTTTTGTTTTTTCCTCCCCAAGCTAGCTGTAAGGGGTGGCGAGCTAACGTTAAAGTGTATTGGGCAGGAAGGCTAGGTAGAAATTCCTTCTACCTTTTTAGGCCCTGCCCCAGGGGCTCTGCACACAACTTCTAAACCAAAGACAAATGCAAAATGAGGTTGTGCCTATCCCGGAGCGGAGAGGGAGGCTGAATCGTGAATATATCCTAGCAGCTAAGGTCGTATGAGTTAGTTCAAAAGGGAGGAGACCAAACAAAATAAATTGAGGGCATCTGAGTAAAATAAAAAGGCTTTTTTGATAAAAGGGGGAAAAAATCAAACCAGAAAGGAAACGCCAAGGTGATACGAATTGGTGGTGCAAAGGCATAGACTGGCCCTTAAAAATGCGCGAAAAGACAGCCTGAGCCTTTGCAGCTGGGCTCCCGGCGAGCTGAGGGGTACCCGAACAGGCCCTGGCTAGCCGGGCGGCCAGGCTCCAGAGAAGGGAGCTGTCCCAGCCTGGATCGGCTACTAGGCGACCAGGCTCAGGTGCGGAGGCCGGAAAGAAATCCACAAAGCCAGACTAGCGCTCTCCTACTCTTTTAGGACTGGGGACCTACTTCCCCTAGGACCTCGGGCTGGGAAAGAGAAAAGGGCTGCCGGTGGGCAAACAGGCAGAGAGGAGGAAGAAGGGAGTGCGGGCCCGGAGAGCGCTCTGGGTTGAGGGCGAAGCCAGGATTGCACCAGCCGGCCAGGGGAGCCCGCAGGAGAGCAGCAGAGGAGACGGCCGAAGTAAGCGGACTAGACGGCCTGGTCCCAGGCGCGCAGCCCCCTCCCCCCTAGCTCAGGACCAGGGTACCAGAGTGACCAGGTGACAGGCAAAGAACTGGCCTAGGCCCCACTAGGCTACCCACCCCTAACCCTAGCCGTCACCCTTCCCCTAGCCCACCCCCCCCCCCCCCCCCCCGCCCCCCCTCCCCCCGCCCCCCCCCCCCCCCCCCCCCATGGCTCAGCCTCATTTCGTCACCGGATCCCCTGGAATGGGGGACAGGAGCGCGAAATACGAACCAGCCACAGCTTTCCCACGTGCGCGCACCGCCGACTGGGATGTTCTGGGCTGGCCTGTGCTGCTCGGCTCGCAGCTGACCCGGGACCCCTGGGTGCCAAGCAAAGATGGGCAGAATGAATAGGAGAGGTAGACGATGCTGGGCCAGGCTCACCTTTCCCGTCCATGGCGCGCACGAAGTCCCCCTGGTAGTGGTGGCTGCGTAATTTCTCCTCCAGGCTGAAACCCCGGACGCTCACAATCTCCTCCACGTCCGACGAGTCCTCGTTCTCGTCATATCCCTGACGGTTGATCGAACGCTGCGGGGACCCAAGCCAGAGACCCCGCAGGCGTTACGGCGGGGGGCATTTAGGGTATCCATTGGGTCAGCCAGCCCGCACCAACCCGACCCACCGAGCAGGTGCAGGAGCAGGGCACAGGGCACCTACACAGTCGACCCCAGGCAGACCCCCGCAACTAGAAAACAGACGGAGTCACCTTTACAATTGGGGCAGGGGCCAGGAGGGTTCTCTCCCCTCTTTACGCCAGCCAGCGGGCAAGCTCGCCCACAGCTATTCCTTACTAGTCCCTGCCGGATAATCGAGAGCGAAGGGGCCCTCAGGAAGCTGGCCCCACCCCTACTATTTTGGGGGTGCCCCCCTACTCTGGGATATCGCCCCACCAGCGGAAGCCGCGGGCCAAATCCCGGGTTACGTAAACTAAGAGGGAGCTCCAGGCGAGGGAAAGCCAAGCGCTCCGGCCCGACTGGGCTGGGGGGCGCCGCGAGGGGGATTGGAGGTGAGGGGCCTGGGGAAGGTAGGCTGCTCGGGATGGGGGTGTAGGCCCTGAGAGCTTGCAAAGCCTGGCCCGGTAGCAGCGGGTGGCGGCGGCTCACTGGGCGCTGGACCCGGGTGGAAGAAAGGGAGACCTGGGTATCGGGGAAGCGAGGTGCCCCCAAGGGCCTCCAAGGGAGCCGGGCAGCTGCTGCACATTGAGCTCGCCCTGCGCCCGCTCGAAGAATGGGGGTGGGGGAGAGCGGGGACGGGAGAAAGGTGGCCAGCCGCTCACAAAGCTCCCACTGGGGACCCCAAACACACCAGCAGCTGCCTCCATCCGCTGCTCATCCCCCCACCACCACCACACACACACATACACACGCACGCGGCGTGGAGGGACATCCCCCCACCCCTTTCCCCACATCTCCAGCTCTACAACCCTCCCACACACACCCCCCCATCACCACCACGCTGGCGAGTCCTAATCCCCGGAGATCGCCCCCCACACCCCGTTCCCACTCAGGCAGCCACCTCCCCCAGCTGCCCCCCCCCACCTAAGTGTCTGAGCTGGGGGGCCAAGAGTAAACTGCCTGCTTCCTTTTGCATGCAATTTATTATTTCTTTTCCGGTCCTCTTCAACACACGGAAAGGAAAGAGAACGCAGGGGAGGAGAGGGGGGAGGAGGAGGAAAAATTAGAGATCTATAATATACAGACACAGATTAAAAAAAAAAAACAGCTACACACCAATCTTCGTCCAGAGCCTTTCTCTGCCTCCATTTTTTTTGGGAGAGTTCACCAATTAATTGGCAACACTCCTGCCCCC